GTGAGAAGAAATTTGTCAAAGAGAAAACCATGTTCAATGGGGAATTAAAATATGGCAGTAAAAGGGAATCTAGGTGCGATGATGCAGAGGCAAGACAGAATACGACACAACTGATATGCGTGAGGGCAGGTCACCATGGGAGGGAAACCAGAAATTGGCTCTAGAAACAACCAGGGTGAGGCCATGAGGACCCCAGTCTTTTTACTACAGAACCTCAGTTTCAGAGAGAGAATTTTATAATTTTGAATGTTCTTTGAAATTAAGCAGATATTTAAATTCTGACACCATCATTCATCTGGTAATCTTGAGCAAGTTGCTTAGCCATTCTTAATGTTAATTTGTTTATCTGTGAAATGGTGATGAAAATAATACCTATTTCTCAGAGTCGTTGAAGAGATTAACTTTGGTGATATAAGTGGAGCACCCAGTAGAGCTTCTGTCTTCTGTTATGCGTTCCCTAAAAGAGAGCTGCTATGATTATTCCGAGCGTAGAGGAAAACCAATGAGTATTAATTATAGGAGTGATATGGTCAGATCAACACTTTAGAAACAGAGCTTTGGTTGCAATGTCAACTTACTGAAGGGATATAAACCCAAGTCTAAATAAGTGCATGCAAGCTGGGCTCGGCAGCTCAGTCTATAATCCCAACGCTTTGGGAGGCCGAGGTGAGTGGATTGCCTGAGCCCGCGGGTTTGAGACCCACCTGGGCAACTTGGCAAGACCTCATCTCTACAGTAAATCAAAAATTGGCTGGGCGTGGTAGTGCGTGCCTGTAGTTCCAGCTACTTGGAAGGCTGAGGCAGAAGGATTGCCAGAACCCAGCAGGTAGAGGCTGCGGTGGCTGGGACAGAGTGAGAGAGTGAGAGTCCAACTCAAAAAAAAAAAAATAAGTGTATGCAAACAACAAGAAATCATTTTAAAATTTAGAAAAATAGGTACTCACTTTGCTCCAAATGCTATTGATTCCCTAGTTTGGTTACGTGCATAATCTTATTCAATCTAGCCACTAGAATTAAGTTGGAGAAGTCAAATAACTTATCTGAGCTCACACGGTGATTAAGTAGATGAACCAGGATTCATACTGAAGTATGTGGTCCCAAAATCTGCGCTTGGTCTCTGACTCATGCTGCTTTTTTCCTGATGTTGGCCAAATTCACTCCCGACATTACAAATCAAAGGTTCTACGTTCATCTTAGAAGTGGAACTTACAGAGCGAAGCCCCTGACACTACACTTGACCAGCACGGAAGAATACTATGATTATAACAATAGTAATGAGTAGCATCTGTTGAATATTTAGTATCTATCAGGTGTATGTAGGTACATGAATTCGTGCCTTTAATGTTCCCAGCAAGCAAGAAAGGAGTCCATTTATCCATTTATTTTTCCCTCTGAAGAGGCTAGGTACTCTACCCAGGCAATTGGTGGTTCACTGCCTCTGTATCCACCGGATTTCCTGACTTTAATACAGAAAAGGCATTAGCCACATAGACATTAGCCACATGCCAAAGATTAATGAGGTAAGAAAAGACAGCATTAAAAGGAGAAGAACACCGACGATAGAAACAGCTGGACTTTATCTGCACAAAGATCTTTGTCTAATGAACATAACGCAGAGCCCCAGAGTGGTTTGTCAACGCTTTTGGAGATTTTACCAGGATAATGTTTACTTGGATTTTCTTTTCCTGTAAAATTGAGAATTTAAACTTCACATGCTAAGACACGTTTGCATGTTCTCTCATAAGCTAGCTGAATTAAGCCCAATGTTTAGCACAATCTACCAGTCCTACGGATGCTGTTCCCTGGGTATAAGCCCCTTGCAAGTTTGAAATTTATCATTTTCTAGTACAGCCATGCACCCAATTTTTTTTTTTTCTATTTAAATTTTTGCAAACAATAATGAGTCGGGGTGTATCAACTATTATGAAGCTGCCCACTTTCCAGCTAAAGAAGAGACAGTGGACATTAAATTTTTCCCGTTAAGTTAAAAAATAAACAGCAAAATAAGTTTGCAGACAGCGTAAGTCTTGAGGGGGCTAAATTTTGACTTAAAAAATGATAATCTCCCTATTGTTAAGATTTTCATTTTACATCTCTCTCTCTCTCTCCTTCTCTCTCTCTCTCTCTCTCTCTCTCTCTCTCTCTCTCTGTGTGTGTGTGTGTGTGTGGTAAATAGAAGATAATCAGCGGTATGAGGCAGTTATGGACCATTATTATACATTTTATTCAGTCCTAAGAAAGTTCCTGTACGCACACAGAGCCTCAGAACCTTCCTTCCAGTACGCACACAGAGCCCCAGAACCTTTCTCGACACAGCACTCCAGAAAACTTGACCAATACATTAGGGTTGGCCTTGGGAGTGGATTCTATTAGCCATCCTATTAGCTCTGCCTCTCAACTGAAACGTTTTCAATGACAGGAAAGCCCGTATTTCTAAAAACCAGCATGCCACGCTTTCAGATTGCTTTCATTATTTGAAGTTTTCATTTTGATGAAAATCTACTTTCAGTGCACTTCTATTCATTGATCCTAATTCTGATTTGTGGACCGAATGGAAAAATGAAGATACTTCACACTCAGGAATTGCTTTCACACTCCTATCACCGGATATCCTTACTCCATTCTAGTTCTTGCATCTTTATTTCAAGAGTGAGCTCTCTTGTGGCAAGAGTATGCACTGAGCATTGTGTTGGGTATTGGAGGTAAAGTGGTGAGAAAACAGACTTTGTCTCTGTCCTCGTACAGTTTTCTGTCTTGGAAAAGAGCCAAGGAAATGGCAGTCAAGGCAGGGAGATCTGTGCAAAGACAGGAGAGGCTTAGGCTGCTCCCAAAGCATAGCAAGGTATTTTTTGTGGCTAATGTGAATGGGATTGAACTCTTGATTTGGTTCTCAACGTCAGCGTTATTGATGAATGGGAATGCTACTGATTTTTACACATTGATTTTGTATCCCAAGACTTTTCTGAAGTCATATATCAGGTCTAGAAGCTTCTTGGAGGAGGGCTTTCTAGGTACACAATCGTGTCATCCTCGAGCAGGGATGGTTTGACTTCCTCCTTGCTAACTGATTACATTTCCTTTGGGTAGATTCCTAGTTGTGGGATTTCTGGGCCAAATGGTAATTCAATGTTTAGTTCTTTGAGAAATCTCCAGATTGTTTTCCATAGAGGTTGAACTAGTTTGCAATCCCACCAGCAATGGATGAGCGCTCCCTTTTCTTTGCAACTGTGCCAACATCTGTGGTTCTTCGACTTTCAAATAATAGCCATTTTGGTTGGTGTGAGGGGATATCTCCTTGTGGTTTTAATTTGCATTTCTCTGATGATCAGTGATATTGGGAATTTTTTCATATGTTTGTTGGCCCTTTGTGTGTCTTCTTTTTAGAAGGGTCTATACTAAAATTCCTTTGCCCCTTTTTGATGTGGTTATTTGTTTTTTTCATGATGAGTTGTTTAAGTTCCTTGAAGATTCTGGATATTAGCCCTTTGTCTGAAGCATAATTTGCAAGTATTTTCTCCCATTCTGTAAGTTTTCTGATCACTCTGTTGATTATTTCTTTTGCTGTGCAGAAGCATTTTCATTTAATTAAGTCTCATTTGTCTATTTTAGTGTTTGGTGCAGTTGCTTTGGGGGTCTTTGTCATAAATTCGTTGTCTAGGCCAATGTCCAGCAAAGTGTTTCTCAGGTTTTCTTCTAGGATTTTTATATTTTCAGGTCTTACATTTAAGTCTTTAATCTGTTTTGGGTTAATTTTTGTATATGTTGAGAGATAGGGGTCCAGTTTCATTTTTCTGCATATGGTTAGCCAATTTTCTCAGCAATATTTACTGAAGAGAGTGTTCTTTTCCCATTGTTTGTTTTCGTTGACTTTTTCCAAGATCATTAGCTTACAGAAATGTAGTTTTATTTCTGTGTTCTCTATTCTGTTTCATTGGTCAGTCTGTCTATTCTTATACAGTATCACACTGTTTTAGTTACTATAGCCTTATAGTATAATCTGAAGTAAGGTTGTGGAGAAAAAGGAACACTCATCCACTGTTGGTGGAATTCTAAACTAGTTCAACCTCCATGGAAAACAGCCTGGAGATTTCTTAAAGAAATAAGCATTGAATTACCATTTGACCCATCAATCCTACTACTAGGTATCTACCCAAAGGAAAATAAATCAATGTGTTAAAAGGATTCCTGTAGACATATGTTCATTGCAGCACTATTCACAAGAGTAAAGCCATGGACCCAGCCTAAGTGCCCACCAACAATTGATGAGATAAAAAAAATGTGGTATATATCCACCATGTAATACTATGCAGTCATAAAAAGAATGAAATTTTGTCCTTTGCAGCACCATGGATGGAGATGGAGACCATCGTCCTTAATGGTCTGACTCAGAAACAGAAAACCAAATACCGCATGCTCTCACTCAACTGTGGGAGCTAAATGGTGACAAAGATGCAAATAATAGACACTGGGGGCTCCAATCAGGGGGAGGTGAGAAGAAAAGTTAGAGTTCAGAAAATACCTATGGGGCACAACATTCATTGTCTAGGGAATGGGTCACCTGAGACCCTCATCTCTACCACTATATAATATGTCCATGTAATGAACATGCATGTGTGCCCCCTGAATCTAAAAACAAATTTAAAGTGTAGCAAGGGGCTACAAACTCGGAAAGATAGAGAAGGGTCTGTCAAGCGAGGCTTTCAAGATCTAATGAAGCCTGAATTGACCCCTAGAAGAATGAGCCGGTGTTAGCAGGCCAGGATGGGTAGAATATAGGGTAAGTGTGTACGTGAAAGTTAGAGGCAGGAAAACAAACCAGCAAAGGGAATAGAATGTCCAAAGGTTAGGAGGAGTGACTTGGTGAGATCCAGCTGCCTGGTGCACATGTGTGTTCTCAGGCACACCTGCGTGTGTGTCTCTAAAGACATTGATATATACAACAACCCGAGAGGTTTTGAGGCCCTGTTAGGTGATTTTAATGTCATTCCAAGGGCTGCGGGATGAACCACAACCAGTGTGACATAAGCACATTTGTATTTTGGGAATATCATCCTGCTGCTGGGCGGTTAATGGATGCCCACCTGGTTGAGGCAGGAAGCCAGGTGAGTTGGGCTTGAGTCAAGACAGCAGCAGACATTTCCAATCCCCTCATCATTGCTACTTTTGTCTCATTAAATGCAGTTTTCCAAAGTTCTTATGATGATTAAATTCCCCAAATTGAAAAAGAACCAGCTCAATTGTGACTTGGCCATTGCAGAACAGAGATGAATCATCACCTTACCCATTTTGGACACTGCAAAAGATGGTCACATTTATTTTTTTTTTGTTAGCTGTTTCATGTTGTTTATCAATATTATGATCTAATAGGCTAAAACATATTAATTTTTTGTGCTATATGGGTGCCTATATTATTTTTCTGATAATGATGCTACATTTTTAATCCAGGTGCAACATTACATGTCCATGTAATGAACATGCATGTGCACCTCTGAATCTAAAAAAAAAATTTAAGTGTAGCAAGGGGCTGAAAACTCAGAAGCCATCATACATACATTTTTTTTAGATTTTCCCCATTATTGCAGGTGGTTAAGAATGTTTCAGATTTTAACTCTGATATTCAGATGGTAAACCAGATTAAAAAGACTATGGTCTTTAAGTCAGAGACCTTGGTTAAAATCCTTATCTTACCACCAATTGACTAATAAGTACCAGAGCGCTTGGCTTTCCTAACCTTAATTGTTTGTCTATTGTATGGATTGTTAGTACATATTTCATTTAGTCCCAAGGAAAGTCCTTGACAGATACTAATAATTGATAGTACAAGCCTTTCTTCCAATTTCCACACAGATTGTTGAGGCAATCAAAGGTTGATTACATTCTTGCATTATACATCATGAGATCTCTAATACCATTATGAAGATTAATAGGAGGAGTACTTGTAGCATGCTTGCCACACAGTTATTACATACTAATTATAAAGCTATTGCCTCTAGGCTCCAAGCACACTCTCTATTCTCAGCTTTGTGGCACTGTAGCTAGAAATTTGCAGCCACGCCACCCTTTGCCAGCTGGCTGCCTCATGGGTTCTGTTCACAGAGGGCACTAGAATGATCCCGGAGGTCTAGAGGAGGAAGAAAGAAGGTACTTGCTCCTTACTCTTTGCTAGTGTCATCCCAGCAATGGTCCTTCATCCAAGAAGTGGCAATTGGGCTTAGTAGAAGCAGATGGTTCCAATGGAGTAGTTCTCCTCCACTCTCAGAACTGGCCTCTTCAACCATCTGCCAGAAACACCAGGATGAGTTGGACAGACCTCCTTTCTCCGAGGTGTAAGTCCCAGCTCAGGGGCCATTCTTCAAGCTCCAGAGATATCAGCACCATCTGGGTAGTACCCTTTCTCAAGGTGTAAGTTCCTGACTTCATGGTGCTCCTCTTCCAAGCTTCTAAGACCCAATGACCTCACCCTCTGCCCTTGACTGGGAGTTCTTTGCTGGGAGTGTCAACTGTTTCCTGCAGTTGATATCTTCGTGTCATCTCAGTGTTTTTTTGTTTTTTTAGTCCTCCTTAATTGGGCAATCTCCTATATTTCTTCTTTTAAAAGTTGATATGGTTCTGATTTCCTTAATATACATTCTTTTCATCCCTAGCCTTGTATCACTAGAAATTTTGACCTTCTTTGGCTACATAAGAGGTTACCTGCCAGACAGTTGATAAGCCCACTACTAAAACTATCTCTTAGTATTAAGATGGGATCACTACAGAAATACAGCCGAGTAATCTGTGTTTCCAAGTGTGTGTATTTCCCCCGTCTTTGTAAATAAGGATTTATTAACACTTGTGCTCTCTTGCTTTGGGATTTGTTAATGGGTCTTTGCATTGAGTGACAAAGAGCATAAATTCATATCTATTCAGAATTTAATTCCCCTTTTAGCAAATGCTATTTAGCAAAGAATAGTTACTATTTACCAGAAACTCTTTAAATGCTTGACATGTATAAACTCATTTAATCATCAATAAACTTATGGAGGAGTTTATCATTATTGTCATCATACAGTCTCATTATACTGTGGACTAAAGAGGTTAATAAAATGGCTTACGTTTGTTATAGTGGGTTCAGTGGTGATACCACAAAATAAATGTCCATCCAGAACCTGTGGATGTCACTTTATTTGAGAAAACTGTCTTTGCATATGTAATTAAGTTAAGAATCTCAAGATAAAATGAATTTGGATTAGGGTAGACTCTAAATCAAACAAGTGTCTTTGTGAAAGAAGAAAAGGGAAGAGAAATGCAGAGAGAAAGTGATGTGACGTGAAGGTGGAGACAGAGATTGGAATGACACGTGCACATGTCAAGGAACCTTGAGGATTACTGGATTCCTTGACACGAGAAGACACAAGAAGCTAGGAGAAAGGCCTGGGACATTCTCCCTCCATGACTCTAGAAGGAGCTAACCCTGACAACGCTTTGATTTTGAACTTCTGGCCTCCAAAAATATGAGGTAATAAATTTCTGTTGTTTTTAAGTCACCAAGCTCGTAGTAATTTATTACAACAGATCTAGAAAATTAATACAGTCTTAAGAGCTTGTAAGTATTAAAGTTGAGGCTTGAACCCAAGTATTCTAGCTCTAGAGACCAGCTGCTCAACTATTTCCATATTTGCCTTTCTATCCTACAACAAGCTTCAGCAAGGCAAAAGATGTATGCTGAATTCTCCCAGAAGAGGGAGGTGAAAGCTATAGATGGTGAACTCTTTTATAGTTTTTCTACTGGAACTGAGGATGGAATTCAAGTTTGGAGGCTTCAAGAGTCAGCCAGTAGCAGTGTTTCCACCTTCATGTATGCTCACTACCCTTCCCTTCCCCAAAGGAGGTGGCTTGGTGATACTGATGAGACAGAATCCTTGGAGTGAGAGCTTCTTGAGCCACAGTGAAAGATCACCTCCCCAGCTTGGACCCTGAACATTTATCATAACACTATAAGAGAGGGACTAGCAGTAGGAGGATACTGCCAGGGGAGGAAGGGGGGCAAAGAGCATCAGTAACGTACCCAATCTCAAGCCAGATGAAATGGGGACCAAAGGAAGGTTCAAACTTTACCTATATGATGACCACTTATGACCTAACCCTGAATTGTACACCACATCTTTAAAATGAAAATAAATAAATAATGAAAAAAAGGAATAAAAATTTACCTTGTACGCTCACTATTGTTGAATAAATAATGTAAAGGACACATTCTGCTGTTTTATTGTTCTTGTTCTGCTACAGCTGAAATATCTCCCCAAACTACTTTTCACTGAATTGCTCTTTGTTCCAACCTCAGGCCTCATGGGTTTTCAAGGATATTTCTTCATGTGCTCATAAACCATGTGCTTATTTTTATCCCCTGAGATATTGTAAGCATCCCTGCCGTGCTGAGACTGAGGCCTGTCGGTCACAGTGAAGGTAGCTAGGGCTCAGGAGTCAGTCATTTGGTAGAAAAGTGGTGGTGGCAGTGGAGCTGGGGAGTGTCGACAAATAAGTCTCAGGTAAAAACAGCAAGTAGATGGGTAAATGGGTAGATGGTTGGGGTGATAGATCTGGCTGCAAGTAGCCGGCATTGGTTAAAAACGGTCAAGGTTCAGGAATAAACTTTTCATTCTGGGAAAGATGGGGGAAGGAAAGACTGGAATCAGGCCTAGGCAAGAGCCCGATTCCAGTCCATTCGATTCAACAAACAGTTCTTGAGATCTTGTGTGTTTCATACCTAACGCTTGGCACCAAGGACACAAAGATTAACAAGGCTCCTCCCTGCCCTTGGAAAGAGCAGATTCTGGTGAAAGAGAAAGAAGACGAAGAACAAATAACTTGAATCCACTTTGATGAGGACTGCCAAAGAGATGTGAACAAGGTGAAATGTGGGAAATAAAATAAGAAACTACTGCTCATTCAAGAGTTAAAAAAGGCCCTTAAGGTGGGGCATATTGGTTGGTAGCATGCAAGATGCTATTGTAAATAGACCCCAACTGTCTGATAACTCATGATGAGTTGATTTTGCCTCCTAAAGCCATCCTGGATGGGTGAAGGGGTCGGTCGATTGACTGTCCACCTCGGGGACCCAGGCTGACCTAGCCTTTCCATCTTTAATGCATAGCTTCCAAAATCACCATGTATTTCTCCCTGTCAGTGGACAGAAGAAAGCAAGGATAAGGCCACTCAAGAGGACTTTATGAGCCATGCCCAGAAAAGGTACTGTTACTTCTGTTTCCATTTCACAGCTAGAGCCAAGGTCTATGGCTATACCTACCTACCCAGGGAGTTGTGAATTGTCAAATGGCTGTATCACCATAAAGAAAGGAAGAAAATGAATTTTGGTAAAGAGACAGCAGTGTTTGTCCCAGGCAGTAATATTTTCTTATGAGTTTTATGAGACAAAAAAGAGTTCACTGGCTGGAAAGACTGAGGGGACCTTCTGAATATACGTGGAAACATTTTAAGCTCCCAAGCAAAACGAAACACACTGGATGTCCCTTCTTCCCTGCTACCTGCCAATAAACCCTGCCATCTCTAAAAGTTTGTCTTCATAAATGTTCACAAAATACACTGTGGAGAGTAAAGAAAACTAAAGAGTTATTCATGTGCCCCAGTTTTGCATACATTATATCAGGTGCAGCTGGAGCTTTTCGAAGCTATCGTATATACTAAGGGTAGTGAATCTTTTCCAAGACTACAGAATCAGAAAAGCTTTAGAAACATTTATTCCTTCTTCCATGCAGAGACAAAATAATTTGATTTGCTGAGTCAATAAAGATTCATCCAGGAAAGAAAACCCACGCCAGGTAAATTCCATAGGGAGACATCAGTACAGCGAGTTAAGTACACAGATGCTGTAAGAGCTAAAGAAGGAAGGGGAAGGTGAGAAGTTGGGAAATCTAGGAAGCCATGGTCATCCCTAGGACTGGAGGAAAGATGGGAGGGGGCTGGGTTAGCAGGCGGGAGCCAGGGCAAAACACTGGAAGCTGGACTCACTGGGGCAGACAGGAACTGCATTCCTGGGGGAGAGACTGGAGGATGAGAAGGAAAGGTGTTGACACCAGAGAACACACAGCCCCGCCACAGATTG